GCCACGAGTGGGGGGTTGGTAGCCACGAGTGGGGGGTTGGTAGCCACGGGTTGTGGAGGGGGAGGAGGAGGAGGAGGAAGGAAGGGGGGTGTTGGGGGTCTCTCTTTGCCTCGTCCCACTGGACACCGAGATGGAGGTGATGGGGGAGGAGTAGGATGCTTCCTGGTTGTTAATTAGCCCGGCTGTTAATTGGGGTAGACAGGGAGGGGCTATCGTGCCGGCTCGACATCATTATAATTGGTTTTGGTGCTTTCTGGCTGCTAATTAGCACTGGTTTTAATTAGCGCAGGCAGGGAGGAGCCATTGCGCCACCCTGGCACCACCATAATCAGTTCTGGTGCCTTCCAGCTGTTAATTAGCCCGGCTGTTAATTGGCGTAGTCAGGGAGGAGCTATCGCGCCAGCCTGGCATCATTATAATTGGTTCTGGTGCTTTCTGGCTGCTAATTAGCACTGGTTTTAATTAGAATAGCCGAGGACGAGCCATTGTCCCAGCCCAGTATCACCAAATTTAGTGCCGGTGCCTTCCGGCTGTTAATTAGCCCAGCTGTTAATTGGCGTAGTCAGGGAGGAGCTATCGCGCCAGCCTGGCATCATTATAATCAGTTCTGGTGCTTTCTGGCTGCTAATTAGTGCTGGTTTTAATTAGCGCAGGTGGGGAGGAGCCATCGCGCCAGCCCAGCATCATTATAATCGGTTCTGGTGCTTTCTGGCTGTTAATTAGCCCAGCTGTTAATTGGGATAGTTAGGGAGGAGCCATCGCGCCACCCCGGCATCACCAAATTTAGTGCTTCTGGCTGTTAATTAGCCCGGCTGTTAATTAGGGGAGTTAGGGAGGAGCCATCGCGCTGGCCCGGTATCATTATAATCATATCTGGTGCCTTCCGGCTGTTAATTAGCCCGGCTGTTAATTGGGGGAGTTAGGGAGGGGCTATTGTGCCAGCTCGGTATCATTATAATAATATCTGGTGCCTTCTGGCTGTTAATTAGCCCGGCTGTTAATTGGGAGAGTTAGGGAGGAGCTATCGTGCCAGCTCGGCATCATTATAATTGGTTCTGGTGCCATCCGGCTGTTAATTAGCCCGGCTGTTAATTGGCATAGTCACGGAGGAGCTATCGTGCCAGCCCAGCATCACCAAATTTAGTGCTACTGCCTTTCGGTTGCTAATTAGCCCGGCTGTTAATTAGCACAGGTGGGATTAGCGCAGCCAAGGAGGAGCCATCATTATAATCTTATCTGGTGCTTTCTGGCTGCTAATTAGCACTGGTTTTAATTAGCGCAGGCAGGGAGGAGCCATTGCGCCACCCTCCCACCACCATAATCACTTCTAGTGCCCTCCAGCTGTTAATTAGCCCGGCTGTTAATTGGCGTAGTCAGGGAGGAGCTATCGTGCCAGCCCAGCATCATTATAATCATATCTGGTGCTTTCTGGCTGCTAATTAGTGCTGGTTTTAATTAGCATAGCTAGGGAGGAGCCATCATGCCACCCTGGCATCACCAAATTTAGTGCTGGTGCCTTTTGGCTGTTAATTAGCCCAGCTGTTAATTAGCCCAGCTGTTAATTGGGATAGGGAGGAGCTATCGTGCCAGCC